AACCTTTACGTAGCTGATAAGTGCCGAAAACTCGATCACATCGCTCACTGGGAGTACAATGTCACCCTTCCTCCATCCATTCGATACCGTACTCGATAAGTAGGAACATATTTTGCGTTGGAAACAATTTTCGCAAGATATGCATTCACTTTTAGGTAGCGTTCAAACTTCGCGATGGCAGCGCTTCTGTCGCAAGTCCGACGCGATCGATACAGTCGAACGCATGCGTATCAATCGCGTCGGCGCGCGACCAAAGCGCTACTGTCGCGAAGTCTGAACGCTGTCTCAATGAGATTTCCAGTTCTGGGCGACTACCACCCCCTACTAAACTGACACTGAGCCCCCACCTCCCTTTCATCCTCTCACCGACCTACTATCCTCCCAGATTCACCAGCTTCTTTAGAGTTTGCTCCAAAAAATCCTTCAGTTTCTCCCTAAAAACCTGCCGTCGAAGGGAGGGGAGGGCTTTGTGGCGGTATGTAGCGCACTTGAAACAGGAGAAATCCGATGAAAGTCAGCAAGCGGAAACATTTTCCCCCGAGGTAAATGCTACCTCGTTACCTCCAGGGACCAAGTATGACCTCCCTCGCTGGGAATCCCCAACATACGGCGTGCCCAGCTGATAAATTGGGAGGCCGAGCGGTTACATAAAAAAGGGTCGTCATCGTTGATAGCGGGGCCTCATACAGGCACACAGAGGGTGAAATGATTGAGCGGAGCACCGTGCAGTAACAGCTCACGTGGGCGCTCATGGGCGACTGCGCATGAAACAGGCGTAGTCACCCATAAGCACCCACCCCTTAAAGGCCGCGCCCACGTTCATTTGATGTTCCCGCGCCCTCTCTGGATATCATAGCCCTCCCTATGAGGATGCAGTATGTACTAGTTTTGCATCTCAAAAAGGCGAGAGGATAGCGCCGTTCGCTAGTGAAGAGTCGGCCGCCCCGCCCACCTGGCCAGCATAGGGTTCTATATAGGGCATTTTCCATGATTTTTTCTGCTTTTTCTTCACTACTGGATCACGTATTATATGAGCTCCATAACTCATTATTCTTGAAAGCGGGCTCAGCCTTTAAAGGCTAAGCCAAAGCAGTTATGGCAGCCAGGTGGGCGGGGCGGCATCCTCTTCGCCATCCTCTCGTATTTTTGAGCTGCGAAATTAGTACATCCTCCACCCTTGTCGACAAAGCTACGATATCTAAGGAGGGCGTAGGAACATCAAATGAACGCGGGCGCTGCCTTCAAGGTCTCCACCACACACTTCTTAGTTGCGCAAATGGCATAGCCTTTGTGGCTGCAGACCTGTAATCCTCAGAAACTGAAAGATTCTGTCTTTTTGGATAATTGCAGAATGTGTCTTTAAGTCCACTACTCAACTACCTTTTTTTATTTTCACACAAGTTTTTTTCCGGCGCTGTTGGGCTTTGCAGGGGCACATTACACTTTTGCCAGTTCCCTTTTAGCAAAGTTTGCTTAGGTAACAGGTCTCATTTTGATGAAACTCGTGAAACCTTGTGAAGCTGCGCAATGGTACAAGGTAGTCACTTAGTTGGTCGAGAATTTCTAGGTCTTCACTTGACCACGTGTACAGACCTCTCGTAGAGTACCATTTGGTGCCCCCATCAAGCCGAACTGCGCCGTTTTCTTTCGGAAGTTTTCTCTGAGTCATTTATGTTACTGTAATTTATGCTGTTTCAGTACTGTAATTTATGCTGCTTAAGTGTTTGTCCGAGGCTAGCAGCTGATGAGCGCAAGAGGGACGAATTGGCGGAATGTCAGGTTGTCGAGTTGGTACGATCGGAGCTTTTGCTGCACTCCTCCTGCCTCCCCCCTGCTACGGTTCAGCGACTTATCGCCATACTGAACCGAGGTTCAATCAGTCAGCTGGATCCCACGGACGTTTTGGGTTCGGATTTTTTGAATATGCAGTAGAGAGATTCAAAGAATTTCCTTTGGGGTAGACTGGTCTAGTTAGCTGTAGACTCCTGCCACTACAGGTCTAACTATAGTAAAAGGGAAAACTACGGTAGTTCAAGTGTTGTGAATGAGAGCATTATCTGAGGAAATTTGTTTCCAGCTTCAGACTCGCATGCGCAGCGAGTTGAGCTGGCTCGTACTTGCTTCGACGCCCTGCTCTCAACGTCAAACGAAGGAAATGGACGACTTGGGAACGTGGCTATTGCAAGTTTACTGCAGAGGTGTTCTCAGGTGCGTTGCTGTGTCATGACATCTTGAGAAAATGTACAAGTTCCAAAGGAAATACCAACAGTACAGTTGATATAGTCGCGATTTATCGGGGCGGCTTCAAAAGGCATGGAATGAGCCCACCAGCAGCGTTTTCGCCATTGGTTGTTTTCTTCCCAAATCGAGCATCAACCGATCCCTACTGGTATTTCCAAGCCGGAGGCGGGCTCCTCCGGTAGGTGGTAGGTGTTGGAGAAGGAAGGGGGAGTTCGTACCGAGACCCTCATTTAGGTGGGGGGGGTCGTACTGACACCCTCTCTCGGAGGGGGGGGTCGTACTTACAGCCACCACCTCACACATCACGATGCTGTACCCTGAGTGTGCCCACCAGGGCTCACTCATGTCTGTACCGTGGGTAGTGACAAGAGAATGGTAATTCGCCGCGCCAGTGGGCGTCGCGTGCGACGTCGCGCCTGCTAATGACGACGATTTTAGGTGGTATTGGTCGAGAATAGACAATGTATGACCAAAAATAGACGTCTACCATGTCCTTGTCTACATGGAATCCGATGCTCCAGTCGAAAAGGGAGTGCAAGCTAAGGGAACGTCGCGCCCATTGTCGCGCGCGAGGATGCGGCGAATTACGATTCTCTTGCCCGTCTTTCGTGAACCGCACATTGACATTTATGAGGGGGAGAGGGGTTGGTGGTGGGAGGGTGTAATCGAAAATGATGCAACTGCGGTGGAGGAATAGGAACGTTCTTTATTACAGGTTTTTCACTGTGTACCTTTGACATGCACACTAGCAGTTTTTTTTTGTTTACAGTGCAGTATCATACAGTGTTGTTCGCTGGGTGAAGGGGCGTGTCAGTGAGACCGGATTTAGCGTGCGGCTAGCCCGTTCTCTACCGGTTGTTGAAGCGGGTAAGCGACAACAGGTTGGTGGAAAAAAACTGATAGGCTGAAAAGAAACGCGCTGGCGCCGCGCTGAATCCATCCCACCTGACACGTCCATCATGTGCAGCGATTAAGACCAAATAAGTTTTTTTTTCATCTGCGGTGCGGCATCATAGTATGATTGTATTAAGAGGTGGTACAAAAGAGCTTTAGGTTATGAACGATTTTGTCCGAGATTGGAATGGAATTGGTGATTTACGGTTACCACGAGGTCGTATTACTGAAATCACTTCTGCTTTGCAAGCTGTCGATTCCCTCATTGGACGTCTAGCCAGGTGTGTTTGCAGATAGTTTGATGAGCATAGAAGAATTTATAAAATTCCGTGTCGCACAGATTTTCTGTCGTTCTTGTTTGGGGGCTTCTTGAACTGAAAAATTCCATGTTTCTGACTTTCGATCCTTTATAGGCTTTCAATGAGAAGCAGTTGTATGGCTTCCTTTTGTCAGGAATTTCCAAAATAATTCAGTTTTCTAGCGAAATTTCCCCGTCGGGTGGAGTGGAGGTGGGCAGATACGCTCCCTTCCATCCCCTGTGAAAGTTTCCAAACGGTGTAGATAGTGCAGATGAAACCGGAAAAATCAACTATTATGAAAAATCTCAGGCCTAGTGCGATTCCCCTCCCTTCAGTGACGCCGCCACTGGGTAAATCCCAGCCTACGTTATTCGTTTCTGATTAAAGAGGGATTTTGATCTGAGGAGTTTTTCGGCACAAGGCATAATTAGCATTGGTGCCTTGAAGACAGTTCCGCGATCAAGTGGTCCGCGAATCGCCTCCGTGCATTTGGCATCATTGTCCGCATTCGCAGACAATATACCACTTTCGTTACTCGAAAGATAACGAAGCTAGAGACGCGTGGTTATTGCAACCATTGCAACCACGATTACTTTCACTCTGCAAGACAACGGCTTACAAGCGGATTAGCGTGGGTACATAGCGTTGCCTGGAGCATCGTAGGGTCATTTCCCGTGCTTAGCGAGAATTGGTTCCTGCTGACTGGGCTTGCCGACGTCCGACAAACTCGTCTAAGGCGCCCACCGCTAGGGGGTTTCTTTGCAGAACGTATCCAAGGTTTTTTTTCGCTTCATTCGCTACTAGGGAGTTAGTTATGGACTGCTGGTTCATGATTGAGCACCTACTACCCGTAACACTTGATTGCGGGGACTGTCTTCGAGGGATGAATTACGGCCTACACCCCTTCCATCCCCTTGCCTTGACCATCCTTCCGAACTGCAATAAGGCCCCCATTACGATATTTAATGCTTGACATGTGTTACCTTTTTCAGGGAACCGTCTCAGTCCGAGTTGTACTCTCAACTGGTGTCGCTATATCCAAGCGTCGTCGATGTGGTAGGCTGTACTCGATCAGATCCTCTACTGGAATCGCAGCTCATCGCTACGCTAAAATCTTACCAAACCCTGCTCCTACTGCAGGCGGTTCCAAAACTTCTGAATAAGGAAAGCTAGCGTAGTATTTAATATTTCTCATAAAAAGTGTGATGTGTGCTTAATTCATATCCTTGCCGAATTCTGTTAAGATAGAGTCGTATATATACCTAGGCCCAGATCAGCAGCACTTTTAAATACTGCCCATCTGTACGTTTCATCGAAGTAGCCACGTGTGCACCGGTATGGGACGCGTGCGGTCACGCTGCGTAGCGGGCTGCTGTGCCACCGCTCGTGTCCGTGCTGACGTGCTTTTTTGACGTGACTACCTGAACTAAGTGATCATTAGTATTACAGAATTCTATCGCAGATGTGTTCTACATTTATTTATTGCTTTTCCTCAGTACTTGTACTTGATAGTGATGATGAAAGTTGTTGCATATTTATTGTTGTAGAATTTGAGTACTATACCGGTGCTTCTTGTTAAACTCCGTGCTATCTGTTGCAATTATATCAAAAATACTCGGACACGGGAGAGCACAGAGAAACCAGATCGAGCGCTTCTCTACGTCTCTGTCGTTGTAAATGTGTTCGAGTTTGTCCAATTTCACTGGTGAAAGACTATTTCTTCATGTGATGCACATTTTTCGCTTTCGTTAATTTAACAATAACGACTTCAAGCAAATCGCTAGTGATCGCCTTAACATTCCTCATAACTGACACGATTTGCTTTTTTTTTCTTTCCTTTGATATGTAATTATAAATATATTGTGGATAAATATGGTTCGACGATAATCAGTGTAATCGATTGAGCTATGTTGTTGATTGGAGATCTACCGCAATGTTTCTTTGCTCCCAGTTTTTCACTGATGTAATGCTGCATTCATACTTTGCGGCAGCGTCCACGAGCAATCATCAGCGACTAGAAACGTATAGCTGTCTATCTAGCTAATGACAGCCTGTACCAGTATCCACCGGCGACCAGGAGTGCGGTCAATTACGCGCCGCCTCCAGTTGTCTCCTCCCTCCTACTTCCTCATACTTTAACAGCATCTGTTACCCTCCCCATTCCCCAACTCTCTGCTCCTGGTCGCTGGCAGACTCTTAATCGATATCCATACTTTCCTAATCCCTCGAGACGCTGATGGTCGCTGGCACGGTGGTGGATACTGGTAGACGCTGACGGTCGCTAGTGGGCGCTGCAGCGAAGTATGAACGCAGCCTAATGAGGACGTACGTTTTCGGTCTATGAGTGATGAATGGCTGTTCCGTCTTGCGAGGCCTCCACTCTATGCGGCCAAGGGTCGGCCTGAAAGAAGCCTTTCGGATAATCTCTTGATCCTTTCAGGTCGCGAAGTAGAAGGTGGGTAATCGCAAGTGTATAGGGACGGGAGTGCAGACGACCAGAGTGTCGTGGGCACTGATGCAGAGGATGCAGCTGGTGTCATTCGATAATTTTCTTTCAGAACCGACCGAACTCGATTGTGTACAGGATCCGGAAGAAATAGTCTCCGTACTGTTGAACAGGTCTGGACCATGGAGTGTAGTCTATTATCGGGTGGGTAAAGGTGTACTATAATTTGCGGGCAAAAAGGAGGCGTGCCGGGAAATGGCGTTTGCTTTGAGAAGTGAATTCCTGGATAGGTGAACAGCTCAAATGTGCGAGGTCACACTCCAGCATTTCACGCACGCTCAAGGCACGTCCTGCCGTTAGGGAAGAATTGCAAAAGATAATCCCTCTTTCGTGATCTCCTCCTCTGGTACGGACCCCACTCCTCCCCCATCCTACCTACCATCTTCTGAACTCTGCCGATTCCCGTCCATTTTCCCCCAAGCTTTTTCCACGAATTCTCCAGTTTTTTTTTCAAGAAACTGCTGTCGAGCGGGAGGGGGAGGGTATACAAGCGCACGTGAGTTAAAACGGTAAAAGCCAAAAGTCAACGGAACGGAATTTCTAAGTTTCTCATGGTTCAGGAAATTTTTCCCCTTAAAACCCTCCAGCGACCAAATAGGGCAAACTTAGCTGGAGATTCTGATACCAGAACGTGCAAGGTATACGGTATCTCCTTGATTAGCAATCAACCTTTTTGAATGGTCGTAAGGATCCAGGTGTAATGGTGTATGTTTCAGCCGGATTTGAACCTCCTTTTCGTGGGACGAGACGTTTTCGGTCGACTGAGTTTAGTGTGTGCCAAATATGATGATGACGTCATTATCTCAGATATCGTACAAAACTCCAGCGTACGTGGAATCGTTAGCTATTATCAGATGGAAAACTCAAGTGATTTGTCGGAAACACTTGCATTCTCACTCATAGACTAATCAGGCGTCCCCAAACCAAAACATTTGCCGCGCGGTGACTTTGATCAGCACGCCTGGGTATTACGCGATTCGGTTTCTCAACGACATTTCCATGGGGCACCATTGCGTATGCGTTCTACTTTTCTTTGATTTTCTTTTCATTGAACGCTTTATAAGTCAGTAGGGACCGGTGTAGTTAGGGGGGGAAAGCAGTTGGTTGGATGACTGGGTCTTTCCGGTTACCTGATCCACAGAGCAGATCGTCGTTGGAGATCACCCAACAGGGAGAGGGGAGGGGTGGTAGTATTTGTTCTGAGAAATGAGAACATTTTTTTGATAGGTGACTTTTCTTGGTTTACGGACGCTATCAGGGGGAGGAGGAGGTCGTATTTGCTTGTTGCTGGGAAAGGGGGAGGGTCGTATTCGCTCGTTGTTGAAAGAGTGGGGTCGTGTTTGCCTTCTGAGAGAAATTTAGAGAGATTTGGAACGTTGGGAAGAAATTTTCCCTGGTAATCCAACTCACGCTTCTTTACACGCCCTATCTTTGCAGGGATCATAACTATACCTACAATGTACTATACCAAAAAGTGGGGCGCAGGTGAGAATTGAGAGAAAACCCTTTCGTCATTGATTGGATGGGGGGGGAATATGGGCGGACTCTCGCAACCATTGTACCTTCTTCACTGAAAACATGTCCTCCTGATGTTTTCAAAACTAACATGTGGGAAGGTTTATGTGCGTACCAATGGGACGTTTTACGGAGTTTCCGTCCTTTTCATTGGGAATGTACATTTGGCTTCATAGTTTCTCCTAGTGAAAAAGCAACGGCATTCCCTTCGCAGATATTCAGGTTTACGTCATCAAGTTTCAACGGTTTAGGCGAACTGGACTGAAGTACCGTATGCTCAAGTGTGTTGTATCGATACAGAGAATCGCTGCGCAGTATCTACCTCTTATTTATCGATTTATCCAGAAAATGTCTTGGAACCATGGGCTAAATTGTTCTCATCATTCACACTGGACTATTTGCCTTGCAAAGACGTCCTACTGAAAGTGGGTGATTTTCCCTAAACATTTACAGCATTTTATATTCGCATACATTTAGGTTTCGCGAACGACATCTAGCCCAACGTTGGATGTTCAAAAAGAGTTTTTTGAACGATTAGTGGAGGCAACACGTTCAATGATTCCTCCTGGTATGTTTGAGAACCCAGGCCACGCTAATCATGTGGGCGGAGACAGTCCTGCCACTGCACCTTCCCCATTGGTGCGTTCTTCTTTTTGAGATAGTACATTGGAGGTATACTCTAATGAGGGAGACACTATGCAGACGAGGTGGAACTCAAGAAAGGGCGTGGCGATTGGGAGGGCGCAAAGGTTGAATGTCACTACCATGTCCCTGCCTTTATGCTTGCCGTAGAGTGTGTCTTGCCTTGAACTCAGGGCACGTCGAATGTTGAGAATCCCCAGCGAGTTTTAGTCGCGAAAGGGAGGGGTGGGATCATATCTGCCTCCGAGCCTTTCCTCTTTACGTGGACAGTGTTGCGTTCGTGCCCCCCCCCCTCCTCCTCCTCCGTCGACATTTGTTTTTGTTCGGGGGAGAAACTGAAAAGCAACTTGTTTTCTGCCGCACAAGGCACGAGGATGTCAGGCGATTCTTTCAAGGCTCGGTCCGCGATTAGGTATAGAAGTTGAAATATGGTGTCGGGAGGGTAGTGTGGTCCGCGACGAACAACCTTGTACCGGTTTCGCGGCAAAAAATTGTAAGGGAGGGGCGCTATAGCGCAATATAGGTTCAGTGACGCCTCCTTTTTCCAGTGACTCCGCCTCCAGACTCCGCCTTTTCAGTGGAAAACGAAGCTGCAGGACGAAAAAGCATGAAAACCATCTTTTGTACGATCGTAAAGTTCTTATCGGGGAATCAGCTGTGCTCATGAGGGCGTAGTGTTGGAGATGGAGTTCATTGGGCACGTACAAACTGGGATCGAAATGGGGTTCTATCTAGGGCAGGTGGCAGTTTTTTCTGCCTTTTTCTTCACTATCGAGTTACTCAGCACCTTGTCGTCTACTTCCTAATCCACTATCCCCTTATCCACTATCTGTGATGATCGAATGATCGCGGGTTTTGCCTTCATTTCAATATGGCCTAACGTTTTGACTGGATATGACGGCCTCGCAAGACAACAAACCCGAAGTTTCTTTTTTTATTTTCTCATGAATTCTTTGTCAGATGCAAATTCAATCGCGGTTGCGTTTTCTGGTGGAGTGGACAGTCTGTTGGTTTCAATCGCGTTACATGAAGCTTATCCCTTGGACCAAACTATCGATCTCGTAAATGTGGCTTTCATTCGAGGGTCCGAGGTTCGTGACACTGTTTCTTCTACGATGTGGAAGTCTTTTCTCAGAATAACGGCTTTTTGTCAAATTAAAGGCAGTTGGCACGATGATTCGGTGATCGGCCTAAAATGCTAGTAGGGCGCTATATAGTGGGGAAATGGCGAAAGAACGGAGTGAAACGGTCAAAATCCTG